CTGTTTGTACAATATCTGGCCAAGCATTTCCAAGCATTTCCAAGCTAATCCAAGCAAAGGGAAGGGAGTCCCACATCGACAAAACACAAGAGAAGGGGACTCTCCCTTTCCTATAAAAGAAGACCCCTCTCCTTCAGAGGAGGGGGAGAAAGAAAAGAGGAGTTGGGCAGGCTACTGGGGCCCCATGGGTTTACCCATGAGCCCATTTACAAGCCCACGGATCATCGGCCATCAGCCAGATCCTCAGCCTTCGGCCTTCGGCCTTCAGCATCTGCCTTCAACCTTCGGTATTCTTCCTCTTCCCCTTGGGTCTAACCCTATGTACAATGTATACACACATTATCATAATGAAAACATACTTCTCCGTGGACGTAGCCCATCATTTGGGTGAACCACGTACATTTGTCTTCTGTATGCATGTCAATTTACTTACCGAATGCTCTTACATACTGAGGGTCCTCACCTTCAGCATCCACCTCCTCTTTAAGTTGGCCTACATACTACCTGTCTAGTTTTAGCGCAAACAAGTTCTGACCCCATCTAGAGAAATAGCATTGCAATGTTGCATAGAGAAGAAGATCCTCTACAGTCAATATGTCTGATTAAGGTTAGTGTTGAGTTATGAAAGTCTGGTACAGATTAACATGTGGTATCATAGCTCTAGGCTTTTGTTTCTTAATCTAACCCATGTTTTCGATAAAATCTGCATATAAGTTTCTGTTTCAATTAATAGCCACAAATTTCAAACAGTTTGCATATCTTATCTGTTTAAGTATGAGCAAGGGCAAAAAGTATTACTGCTCGATCATACTGCAAAAGACTTTTGATCAAGTTTTGGGATCTACTGTGCAAACTGAGTAAGCTACAACTGCTCAGTTTGTATGAGAGATTTTAAAACGGCAATTTGATTTAAAAAAAAATTACATTAATATAAGTAGCCTTCTGTATTTTTCTCCATCCACATATGGGAATTGTATAGATTGATAACGATATTGATGGAACAATATGGACAACAGACTGCACAAACTAGCAAGTTTCTCTACATCCACATATGTGAGATTTCTTGCGCAGTTTGCTGTTTGGGATTTTGGAATATGGCAATTTAAACGCACAGGTGTAAACTGACATATTTAAGTAAAGTTTTGGGGACAGTTTTGTTTATCTGATTTTATAAAATCTCTACAGTGAACCACAACACCTTCGAAACTCTGATTGGATCAAACTACCAAAAATGGAAGTAGAATCTAGAAATATCCCTTGGTTTTCTAGACTATGATCTTGTTCTCAAAGAAGACCTTCCTCAAGAACC